CTAATAATGAGCTCTATTTGCTAAATTTTTTGGTTTCATTTAGAATTAAATGTAATATTTATCTTTTTTTTTTCCTGGGTTAGTCAACTTAATGATTCATAATAACAGGGGATGCTTCAGATTTTAGTTTCGTTTCTCCGGCAGCAACATTAGGGCTGGATAATATTTGCACAATTTGCATTGACTCATCTCATTTGATTAGTTTTGCAACCTATAATTCAGTACAACCGTGTCATTTTTTTCAGAGGAAAATAAAAGTTGTTTCGTTTTCTTTTTATTTAAACCAGTCATACGGTTGCTGCACAGAGGACACAGACTGGCAGTTTAAAGTCGTAGGAAAATCACATTTAAATGTCAAATCTTTCTGGCTTAAACATGTATATAAATGTACTCTTTATCAGACGATATTGTCCCTAAATTTAGAAGATTTCTATTTTTAAAAAATTCTGTCTTAAAATCTGTGTTTTTTTTTACCGTTATCTTATGCAGGCCAGTTAGTTATTCGTCAGCCTGAACACCTAAATTCAGCCAATCATATATCAACGTTCATCTGTCAATCAAATATTTTCGGTCATAGCATCTTGATCCATATGTTGCAGCTAATATACGCAACAGTTGAAATAAGAATAATTTCCTTTCCCATTGAGTTCCGTCCCAGTGTTCACGGGGATGGACGTCTGTGTCTTCAGCAGGCGTAGAGCTAACAGAACTGGCAGCGTTGCGAGGCAAGGGCTCAAACATGTACGGCTGGAAGCCTTCTACACCAAACCAAGCTTCTGCCGCCCTGGCGTCCTCTTCCACAACATCTTTGTCACTGCTTTCCTCCTCTAAATAAAAAATGGATGACGGAGGAGACTCATCCACGACCTCCGACACTAAACTCTCCTCCTCTTACATGTTTCTGCTGTCCATAGCGTTCCTTGACAGTGTCATTTCTAAGTCACCAATTTAGTGCTACTTGGTCCCAATAGAATTTCCCATTGGGAACCTATTAGCACTAAGATGCTAACTTGTTAGCAAGATGCTTCTGACACATCGGCCCCACAACCGAACTTGCCTGCGAACCATCCGCCACAAGGTTGATTGTTCCGCCACAACAATCAATTTATTCACTCGTGTAAAGTCGTGCACCACTCGGGAGAATTCGGAAATGCAACGGTTGAACAGCCGTTTTCCTACAACTTTAAGCACGAGAACACCGAACGTTACAGAGGAGATTTTCTTTTTGATTAAACAGAAATATCAAAAGAAGTTTTTAGACTTCTTGACTTGTTAGACTCTAGTTGTTAGAGTTTTTTGCTCTTTATTTAACTCTCTCCTGGTTCCTGGTTATGAACAGGTCTGTCTGTGTCTATTTATTATTTATTTGTATTTCCTTTTGGACTGTTTTGGCTATTATTAAAAATGTAAAAGAAATTGCAGAGTCTCCAGGTTCCAGCTAACATAATGTGACACTCGCAGAGATGCCAGTTTTATAAAGCTTTACCGCTCACAAAAAGTCAATCTACCCCTTAATCTGAGATCCTTTATTTCTTGTTTTTTTTTTTTAGTATCGTTTATTTGATAAAATTGAACTACCTTTTGATTTCAGAATAATTAGGTTTACATGAAAGCTATATTTAAAGCAAAAATAGAGTTTTCTGATGGTTGTTTTATCTCAGATTGTTTTTAATTCTATCACCATTATCGGCTTCTTTGGACCAAAGCTTGTACTGGGACCACCGCTGATGCTCTCTCTCCAATTCTACTTTTGCAGATTTGTATGCTTCGCTCTTTGGTAAGGGGCCCACCCAGTAAAGCTACTTAACAGCAAATCTTGTTTTGCAAAATCCTCTCAAAGTAAGAGCCTCACTCTGTGGCGCTCTCCTCGCTCTCCCTTCTTCTCCAGCTTCCATCCATCACAAGCTGCCTGTTGTTTGCAAGGATGCTAATTACACTTTATGGCTTGTGTGCAAAAACTCAAAAACTTGATTATATGATTCTTGCAAGTATTTTGGGGGGGTAACAATATGTCCATCATTCAATTCAATTCAGTTTATTTACATACAGTGCCAATTCACAACACATGTCATTTCAAGGCACTTTACAGTTTACCAGATCGTACAGTGAAATTGATTCAAAGTTTTCTATCTTAGGAAAACCAATCCCTCACACCAAGCATGCTTGTAGTGACAGTTGAGAGGAAAAGCTCCCTTTTAACAGGAAGAAACCTCCAGCAGAACCAGGCTCAGTGTGAGCGGCCATCTGCCAAGGTCGACTGGGGTTTAAGGAGACAGAAGCAGATATACAAAAAGCAGCTGTAAAAGGAAACACACAACCAGGCAGATGAGCTCCAAGCCAACCCCCATGTCAGAGGATGAGGAAGGCACATCCAGCCAGTCACAGTCAGAGAAACAGGACTACGCTGAAAAACAGGCCGATCTCGAACATCTATAACAAAGGTGTTGATAGCAGCAGCACAGATGATATTTCTCTCAAGGATGGAGTCACAGCCACACAGGAACAGACAAAGTGAAGCTACTATGAGAAAAAGCAGAGACAGCATAATGTTAGTGATTGAACTAACAGATTCTGCAGAGTGGAAGAACAGAGATAGAATGAAGCAGAATGATGAAATGGGGGTCCCTATGTCCTCCAGCAGTCTAAGCCTTTAGCAGCATAACTATAGAGATAGCTCAGGATAACCTGAAAGTTTTAAGCCTAGCCTTAAAAGTAGACAGGGTGTCTGCCTCACGGACTAAAACTGGTAGTTAGTTCCACAGGAGAGGAGCCTGATAACTAAAAGATATGCCTCCCATTCTACTTTTAGAAATTCTAGGAACCACTAGTAAACCTGCAGATTGAGAGCGAAGTGCTCTGTTAGGAACATAAGGAACAATCGGATCTCTGATTCTAGAATAGAATAGAAACAAACGGATTACAAGCTGATATTTGCTAACATTTAGTAGTTATATAGTTTGGCTTGCAACCAGAGTAGCTAGCCAAACTATAGCTACATGTTATCCTTAATATTTATATATATATATATATATATATATATATATATATATATATATATATATATATATATATATATATATATATATATATATATATATATATATATATATTAGTGCTGTCAATCGATTAAATTTTTTTAATCGCGATTAATCGCATCAATGCCTGAGTTAACTCGCGATTAATCGCAAATTTTTTTTCTGATTGAAAATCATTTAAATACTCTCGATGACATACAAAAAATACATACAGGCTAGGTTTGTGCCAATGTTCTTTTTTTTAAATGAGAACAGGTCACAGATACTGATTATGCCATAGAAACATATGGCAAGAAGATGGCATGTAGCAAAAAATAACAAATATGTAGGCAAAAAAAAGGCCCTGAAAACAGGCTGATGTAAAAGACAGTCTTTACAGTTAATACAGTCTTTTGAACAAAGACAAGCATTTTACCCTACTGCTATAAAATGTAGTACAGTTAACATTAGATGTTAATTAACCAAGATAATAATGAACAATTTTCAATCAATACATCAAAATCAATAGACCGACATCACTAGATGGAGGTAGTCTATGAAAGTTACTTTTCAGACTCTTAACAAAAATGAGAACACACACACACCCACCCACCCACACACAGACACGATACCGACCTGTGACAGCAAGAGTGCCGTAGCAGATTCCATTTCACCTCAGTAATCTGTTTTCTCAGCGTATTTCAGGTTGCTACTAGTTACCAGACACTCAACTTGTTTGTTGGTGGTGGGGCTTAAAGAAAAGGCACTAGCGCCACCCAGTGTATGAGCGTCTTTTTTCCTTGAGGAGCTCCGCTCTCGAAGCCTATGAGAAATGCATAGACTGGGGTAAATAGCCCCGCCTCCCCGCAGGCTGCAGCGGGATGTACTTGGAAAATTTTACCATAAAACCACATAGCGTTAATCTCACGTTAAAAAAATTATCGCCGTTAAAATGGCCTCGTGTTAACACGATAATTTTGACAGCACTAATATATATATATATATCAATCTACAATTACTGTAACTTTTTTCTTGTTAATAACGTGTTCTGTTAATGTAGCTGTTGTTATTAAATGTTTTAAAAGCAAGGAAAAGCACCATGTTTTCAGCCAGCTGTGCAGCAGTCTGAAATCTGATTTTAATATATTCTAGTCACAGATAAGTGTGGTCAAATAAATAATTTACTCCCATTTTAATCATTTAAAGTTATCTCCTACTTTCCATTCTATATCTTTTTTGTTATGTCCTTCCCTTCCTCCCGTTCTTGTATCCTTTCTGTATTCCATTTTACTCCCTTTTCACTCTATTCCTCTATATATTTATATGGTCATACTCTATGCACGTTTTCTTATTTTGTGGTTCTCTGACTTTTCTTTCATTCCTTGCCTTTTCTTTCACAATGTAGTACCATTATGACCCATGCCCTCTAGCCTGCAGAGCAACTTTGAAAAAAGGCAAATTTTAATGTACCTACTGTATTATTTTCACATAGGGGTGACTCATTTTGATGTGTTTAATTTGCAAGCAAAATCTTTATTATCTTCACCTTTTCAAGCCAAAACCTCCACGGAGGCCTTCGAGGGTGAGCAAGACCAGCTTCGCTCGTAATAGCATGCTTCCTCGTGGGTGGCGGATGTTACAATTGCTGACCTGAGAAATCGAAATCGGTTTATCAGAGGTCATTTTTTTCCACTTGTAGAAAATGCCTCCAGAAAACTCACAGTTTGATGTCATCTGTTGGGTCAAACTGTTCATCTAACCATAACTACTTCATTTTTAATTCAATGAGCGGTGTAGGAGTCAACGCGCTTGGTGCAGTCGAGATGATTCCTTTGTGTTTCAGCACAGAAAAAAGAAAATGATTTCATTTAGCTAGTCTGATGTTTTGGTGTTGGAAAGTAAAAGCGGTGATAAGGAATGTGCATGATAATGAAATGTAAATGTGCCTCCTCCTTCTCCTCCTCTACCCTTTTCTAACCGCCTCAGACGTTGCGAAAGAAAGGCTTTAATGGCTGCAACAGCCCCGAGCCCGACGGCGATGACTCCATTGACCAAAGTCCGCTAAATGACCGCAAGACCGAGGACCTGGACAGCCTCTTCAAACGCTATGGCGTGAGTACCATCATACCTTTGTCACCTTTTCTAACCTACTCTTTCTGTTCTTCTTCTCCTTCTCTATCTGCCGTCTCTGTCTATTTCTCTCTGTCATTGTGGCCTCTGCTTCTGTTGTACGGGGGAACGAAGGCTCTGAACAAGAAAGAGCACCGGGACTCTGAGAGCCCAGACCCCGAGGAGCCCTTCTCCCTCACCCCCCGCACTGAGGAGAAATACAAAAAAATTGACGAGGAGTTTGATAAAATGATGCAGAACTATAGGCTGTCAGTGAGTACCTCCCACCATTCTGTGCAACCCAGCCCCCCTGACCCCACCCCACCCTCCATGTTGCTACTGCTACTGCTGACCAGAAATGAATAGACTCTGGATGCTAAAGGCAGTCTGAATACTCACAGAGCACTTGCCTTCCCCACTCCCCTCACCTCTTCCACCTTCCTCACCGCTTACCAACAGTCACTTTTCGTCACTCCTAAAATCACCACCCTTAAACCCTCCTCCTCCATCGTGTGCGGTTGATTTAAAAAAAAACAAAAAAAACTACACACTGGCTTTTAGCTGTAAAGTGTTCATTTGAATGATTAAACTTTTTTTTCAATATGCCCCTATTACAAATAGAGAAAAAAAGAAACAAATATTTTACAATGAGACAATTTCTCTTAAAAGTAAAAGATGCTTTGTATTCAAAATGCTGCAAAATAATCTTTCACAAACCAGTTTTTCCACTGGTATAAATCCAACTTATTTGCAGTGCCTTAAATGTGACTGCAGGGTAGAAAAAAAGTCCTAAATCAAGTAAGCACAACACCAAATGCCATTTGCTTTAATGGGATTATTCATCGCTCACCATAGTAAAAAGCGTCCCTGGACTTATGATTGCTGTAAAACTGTTTAATGCTTCTGCAAGTTCACTAAAGTATGAGAAGCTGCAATAGAGGGCGAGCCGTGTTAACTAGGTCCCTAGTTTTCATAAAAGCTGGCATAGCAGCTGGAAATTGCACTGGGAAATCATATTTTATAGGAATAATCTACATGTTGAGAGCATGCCTTTAAGCGGTTGGATTTCTCGCCTGTAATGCTAGTTGGGTAATACCCTGCATTATTAAAGAAAGAAAAGTGTGACTTCAGACACAAAGTGTGCTCTGCAGTTTAAAAATGGTGCACTTATTATTTGCCTGGTGTTTGCAGAATTGGTGAGGTCAGTTTAGTCTGTGTGTAATCCTTCTCCTCTGCCTTGATGTGCTCCTCACATTATCCAGGTTCTGCCTTCTGACTGGCACGCTGCCAAACCTCTTTTAGTGCTCCGTTCCTCTGCCAACTTCACTGTGATTCATTTTTTTCCCCCTTCTGTGCTCAATAATGCAATTAATGTCACTTTAATGAGGAGCATTCAATTTACAGCCCCTCTTGCTGTCTGCCTGCCTGTCTGATTGGGCACCTGGGAGGGGACTAGTCACGTTTAGGTGTTGCAGAAGGGTTTGGCCAGTTGGTTCGGGTTGGAAAAGTCTTCCTTTATTCCCTCTGCAACAGTGTTAATTATACTGTGAAATTAGTTTAAAAAAGTGTCAAACCTTTTTCTAACAGCCGTGTTGCTGTAATCTTTTTAACCACTAGTATTAAAAATAGTGATACAGTATTTTTCAAATTTTTCAAATTCAGCCTCTCAACAATAATTAACTTGAGTGTTTTTATTAAAGGCCAACATGAAAGAAGTGGAGGAAATTTATGTTTTCACTTTTTAAAAATAAAACCAAAAAGGTGTGGGTTTAACTGCTAAACTGCTTTAGCGTATAAAGCTTGACTGTATAGGTACCAGGTCAGCCTTCTTATGACATCGTCATATGGCGATGCCAATCGGACGAACTGTATTGCACCCGTTTCTTAAGAATCAGAACTCTCCTGGAGTCTCATTATATTATTACCCGTATTTGCTATTATTTTACATTTTATCGGCTTACTAAAGTAGCCGGAAGTAGAAAACACTCTCAGTCTTTAAGGAAAGCACTGCCTTCTAAGACAGACTGAGCTCCACCATTTAACAAGGCAACAAAATTACTTTGGTAGAGATTTTTGTAGAGAAAGAAAACAAGTTATTGAACTTGTAGGAAACGAACAGTTGCTGTTGACACAAAGTTAAAAGTAGTGTAGCTTAATATGGCTTACCGAACAAGCTAAAAGAGGCTAACCTGTTAGCTACTGAGCACAGCTAGCCACAGCGCTACCCAGCTCTGCCCCTTTATATCACTTAAAATTACTTCGTTCACCATAAACAGATTTGTTCAGCTTTGTTATCCTTAAGATAAAGCTTCATCGGGCATTAGACAAGCTAACATTAATATTATCGATGTATGGGCAACAGCAATGTTTTATTTTATGTGGCAATGTAGAGTAACTTCACTGGCATATGCAGGACCCGGGCAGATCTGGTTAAGATCCCCTGCTGATGACGTCATGATGTGGAATATGGCAATGCCAATCGGACAAACTGTATCGTACTCTTCATAAGAATCAAATCTCTTCTGGAGTCTAATCATATTATTACCCATATTTGCTAATATTCTATGTTACCTTGGCGATCTAAAGTAGCTAAAAGTAGAAAACTATCTGGCCCACCAAACTTATATTATGCTGCATGCCTGTAAAGACAAAACTCTCAAATTGTTTTTGTAGCGTCCGAGGCAATTTCCACCTCTGTCTAAATGGAAAAAAGAAAAAAAATCATCCATTTTATGTCACGTTTAACCCCAGTTGGGTTCGCAAGAGATACTGGTGTCTATCTCCAACTGTCTATGGGCGAGAGGCGGGGTACACCCTGGACCGGTCGCCATTCCATCGCAGGGCAACACAGAGACAAACAACCATTCACACACACTAACACCTAAGGAGAATCTAGTAGCAAATTAATCTAACAGTCATGTTATTTGGACTGTGGGAGGAAGCCAGAGTACCCGGAGAGAACCCACACATGCGAAGGGAGAACCTGGAGACCCCGCTGCTCCACTGAGCAGCCCGAAAAAACCCCAACAACTTCTTGGGCAAATTAAGAAAAGCATTTGGACACAGCGCACCATCGGTTGTGCTCATCCCTGATTAAAGCACCTCTCAGTTTAATCAGTTCAATGAATTTCTGCCCTCCTGAGTTTGACTCAGCCTCTCTGCTGCGTGAGCCGAAACGGCTCTTAAGGGCTTTTCTCCGAAGTGAGAGAGCTGTGGCAGGAGAAGAATAGCATTCAATCTACCACCCTTAGAGATGTGCCGCTTATGGCCTGCATTGATTGGCTACTAGTCAAGCTCCACTGGAGGAGCCCTGCTGCCCACTGCTGCTGTTTCAGTCAGCCGCTTTGTGTACCTGATTCACCCGGCTCACCTTTCAGTGGAAGGAAGCACAGATAAGTATACAGCGTCTCCAGCCGTCCCTCCCCTCCTCAACATAATCCCCTGTATGACGGCTAGGGGCCGGGATATACATGCTTAATCCCACTTGTACTAAAATGCCTCCTAAGGCATGGAGAGAGTGCTGAAGCAGAACAGTCAGGACACTTGGCTTGAGCTTACATATCTGTTCCTGGTAGTTGGCACACTGGTAGGCGGAACAAAAAAGAAACCTTTTTTTTTGTGACCGGCGGCTCTCTGATTTGATCCTTTTTCTGGTTCTGTGATTCAGGGTTTCTAAATTGAATAAGAAATAGATTTCTTCCTTTTTGCATCCGCCTCCATGGTGCCCTTGAGCAAGTAGCTGAATATCTTGTGTCAGTACAGGCTCTGTATAGATCCAACATAAAACGCAATAAACTGACGTTGCTATATATTGAATCACATGAAATTTCATTTTCAGATGTTAAGCATAAGATAATCATATGCATAGAACAGCTGTTGATATAGTGAATCAAACAGGATTGATTGTAATTACCCTTCAGATGCTGAAGGATCTGACATTTACATATTCAAAAGAATGGGAACCTATAATATATATTTTTTCTGTCACTACATGTTAAAATATCTTATATTTTCTTGTTAGATATCTAAATTAAATCCGCTGGGTTTATTAATATTGGCTGAATCTTTATTCAAACAGTAAAAGTTAAATATTAGTAGATTATAAAACTCCTCTCTGTCAGACAATTTTTTAACAAATTAAAAAGAATGTATATAAATGAAATACAGACAGGTAGATAACTTTCAGAAAAGAGAAGCAGACTATGAGTGTATTTCATCCTGACTTAACATTTCATCAAGTAAACACGCCTGCTGAAGGAGCTTCTATGAATTAAAAGAGCTTTGATTTTTCTCTCTTTTTGTTTATTTCTCACATAAGAGGCCTTGAGCTTTCTCACACGAGCCTCCAGAAAATCTCCTGGTCAATTATTTACCCAGCAGGTTTGCTTTTTCTGCCCTGGTTCCCATCCTTCGCCTTATATCCGTAAGAGGATGGATATCATCCCCTTAACCCTCCATTCAGTAGTATATTGATTAGAAAAGTCTTGAAGTGGAGAATGGTGAACTAATTGGTTTGGTTTAATTGGTTTTAGGGAAACATGGTGCACATTGTAGACAGAAGAAAAGTTTAAAAATAAACATTCAAAAGACTAATGAAGAGATGTTGACGTAGAGTCATGCTTTCAGAAAGAGCAGCATGAAGAAAGAAAACGTCATTCGATGGCGATTGTTGGGATTTTGTAAAACTTTTGAGGTACACTTTAGATTTTCTTTTCTAAATTCAAAACATGCACATAAAGGTGAGCAGCCAGTAAACATAAACCACAAAACATGCATCAGTTTTTTTACTTTTTTTCTTACAAAAAAAGTCAAATTCATTTGCAAATCCAAATTCATTCTGAGGTACTAATGGGTATAAAAATATATCCGATCAAAAAGAAGAAAATGTTTTCTATTGTAATGTCTGCTAGTGATGTTAGCACAGAGAGATATATAGAGAAAAGAAAAACCCTCCCCAGTGATTTCTGCATCTGTGTTTACTCATCTCCACCTTCTTTACATTGACCCCCTCCCTCCCACCAACCATCCACCTACACCATTGATCCATCCTTTCTCCGTCACCTTCCGCTTTGCGCCCGTGTGCAGTTCTGTTAGCTGCTAGCGGCTTTCTTCCCCATCCCAGGTCACCACAGACGGTTCCGTTTGCACATCCCCTTTGCAGATTTCCACTTTGCTAATCTAACCAGTAAATTCAAAGGTATCAGTGGTTTGAATATAATAAAATTCAATAATATAATAAATAATATTGTAATATAATTCAATATTTTCAACCATGTTTTTTTATTTCTGATCTAGAATTTTTCCAACATTTATTATTTCATTCATCTGAAATAATGGCTTCATGGAATGAGTTTTTATCAGAAATAGATAAGGCTTTGCTGGAATCAAAAAGTCTCTGATCCCTCTCTTTCTGTTATGAAATGAAACTTTTCTTTTTAAACACTCAGACAGAGGTGGGGATCAAGGGCAGCGAGGTGTCCCTGTCCTTCTTTCCATTAAACTGGGTCTCTGCACTGTGAGTACAGTACAGAGCAGCAGTGGCCCATATTCCATATATAGAAGTCCTTATTTCAGATTGAGATGAAACCGGGTGAAATGGGTTGCATGGCTGGACAACCTGAGGTCCTTGACCTTATTATTTCTTTTTCTCTCTTTTAACACCCACTGTAGTCCGGTCATCCTTTTTCATCAGTTCAGTTATCATTCTGGACACTTTGATAAAAGAAAGGGCTTCAGTAAATGAACCCTATCTCTGTGATTCATGCCTGTTTTGGGTAAGATTCACTAAATTTGAGGCAGATTTCAATACGTGAGCTCATGGATCATTTTCTCAACTTCCCAGGGAAGGATACGTCGGGGGGGGTATGCATGCAATGAGATGCCTCCCAATAACTCAAAAGCAACAACTTGCTGCCGCAAAAAGAGGAGAAAGGCATTAGAGGAGAAAGGCCACAACGCTTCTTCTGCCTTTCCACCAATTCACTTTGCATGTTTCAGCTCAATGAGTGTCTGTGGGTGTGCGTTAGTGGGGATGTGTGTCGGGCGTTTGAAGAGTTAATTCCCAAAACCACTTACTTAAAGAGACAGCTCTAAGAGGTTTTGCCTGTGTGGTTCCTGGCAAAACACAGACCTGCATGGAATATAAAGCTTTTAGACTGATTTCCTGCAGTCATTTGAAACGCTTTGATCAAAAAGAAAAGAAAAAAAAAATATTAGGTAACATTGCTGATTCCAAATTGTCCGCCTTTCTAGGCTTTGGTTATGTGTATTTTTATATAAATACTTTATAGCAGACGTGTCAAAATGAAAGGATCGAAATCGAACCCTCATGGCAAATTATCCAGCCCCTGAGGACCAAAAAAGTTCTAGTGTCATAAAACAGACTAGAGATCGACTGATGCAATGATTTTTTTGATTTTTTTTATATATATATGTCTGATATTAGCTTTTTGTTTTTCTTGCCTCGGTATCCAATACATGCATTTGTAGACCGCTTCGTTAGGGCATTCAGCAGCTGTGCCTTAAAGGAATAGTACACCCAAAACATGATTAGCCTTCATTTTCTACTCACCCCCATGCTGAACAACACCCTGGAGTACTTTTTTGATATCTCAAATGCATCTGGAGATCTGGGAGGCTTCTTGCTGTCTGCTGACATTCAAATAATGGAGGTCTATGGTGCCCGAGACAGAAAGGTCCATAAAAGTCCACAAAAAACGTGTCAATATTTCTCCATACTGCTCGTCCAATGTATTCCAAGTGTCCTGAGTGGGTAGCATCCAGAATTTACTCGAAACGAAGTTATTTAGAATGTTTTTAGAGCATAAACAGTAGTGTATAGGATTTCCTGAAAGCGCGCACCTGCGCGTTCATGACGCTACGGAAGCTGGCAGACCAAACCAGACGAAAGTGCGCATTCAGCGTCTGCTCTGCCAATAATGCAAGCGTAGAAGAAGAAATGTGCTGTTTACCTGTGCAAAGAAAGAAACAACGAAAGAAAAATGTCTGAGGACTTCAGTGTTGAGGAAGAGCATGAGTTCTTTGCTGAGCTGAATGCGCACTTTCGTCTGGGTTGGTCTGCCGCGGTTTCCGTAGCGTCGTGAACTCGCTTTCAGGAAATCCTATATACTACTGTTTATGCTCTAAAAACATTCTAAATGACTTCGTTTCGAGTAAATTCTGGATGCTACCCACTCAGAAAACTTGGAATACATTGGACGAGCAGTATGGAGGAATATTGAAACGTTTTTTGTGGACTTTTATGGACCTTTCTGTCTCGGTCACCATAGACCTCCATTATTTGAATGTCAGCAGAAAGCAAGAAGCCTCCCAGATCTCCAGATGCATTTGAGATATCAAAAAAGTACTCCAGAGTGTTGTTCAGCATGGGGGTGAGTAGAAAATGAAGGCTAATCATGTTTTGGGTGTACTATTCCTTTAAGATCATGATAAGTGCATGTATTGGCGTACCCTCCATCTGGTATCATTGTTTTTTTAAATTTCTTTATAGATTATCTTTTTTGGTTTAAATTAAGACTTATGTAATTTTTTTTTTTGTAAACATGTCCTTTTTAACGTGTAAATAGAGGAGGAAAAAAAAATGTCTTTCAAGAAAGGATCCAAAAAATATCAGCATCACATATCGCTGATTGGTTCGACAAATGTCCAAATAATTGGGATCAGCGTGGGCTTAAAATAAAATCTGTCGTTCTCTAAAATAGAAGCAAATGCTCTTTAAAGAGTAGGAAGTGGCTAACGTTGCTGAATAGATATGAGTAGATTTATAACACCAGAGCATTGCTCTCATTGTAAATTTAAGATAAAAAAAAATATGTTTTCGTCTCCTCAAAGTTTTAGTTTCACCTGGTTTCATAAAAAATCTGCTTTAAAGAACCTTTGGCTATTAGATTATTAATCGAAAAAATTATGGACAGATTAATCGATTTGCAAAATAATCTTTAATTGCAGCGCTACTTCGTTAATACTAGTAATTTCTGTTGGTCTTTAAAATATAGGTTTGTTATAAAAATAAAAATGAATTATAACCATAATGAACAGTAACTATAGATTTTATACAGAAGATCAGCCAATTATTCAGCAAGTATTTCGTTTTTTTATCTTTGTAATTCAAAAAGTTTTGAAATAGAGCCGTAAACAATGATACTGTGAGGGTTATCTTACAGTCAGAATTTCATACCGACCCATGCCTGTTCTCAGGATTTAAAAATGTTAAGTTTTAAATGTTGTTTCATTAGAAAATGAAAATGGAAATGTTTTTTTTCACTGCTAACCTGCTGCTCATTTAATATCTCTGTGTATACAAAATCACAATAAAGTTTGTCTTATACTAAAAGTAAAAGTATCCCAATCTCCTAAAGACTAAATTAGATTAAATAGAGATCAGAAAAGTTTTTTTTTGTGTTTTTTTTATTGTTTTCTCTGGAGTTTTTTTTTTTTTTTTTCATTTTTATTTCAGTTTGGAAAAACTGTTCTTGCTGTGATTGGTTGGTAATGTGTGTGTGTCGCCTGCAGGCTGGTTTACACTGCTGCTGATCACTAACTGACCACCTGCCTGTTTCTAAGTCTATCAAAACAAATGCGTGTGGGGCTAAACATGGCCACCCTATAAACTCCGCCCTCTTCCTGTCTCTCTACCAGTCCACTGTCCCGCAGCCCAGCTTCCCCATGCCAGTTACCGTGCCAGTGTCCAATCAGAACGCGGCGGCCGCAGCAGCCCTCCAGTTCAGCAACAATCCTGCCGGCCCCATGGTCACCACCACCTCCTTCGTCACCTCCGCCCTCACAGATCCCCGCCTCCTGTCGCCACAGCAACCAGTTCTGCAGAGGAACACCGTGTCGCCGGGGTTACCACAGCGACCAGCCAGCGCAGGTAACAAAACATGTGGAACGCAGCTGGAAAGCTTTGGTTTCTCCATCTCTTCACAGTTCAGCTGTGGTCGTATCAATCAATAACCGGTGGCCTTTTCAGAAAGGAAACATCCTGTTTCAATAACTGCTTTGATTGATTTATCACAGGTTTAGTTGCTTTTTTATCAGATTTTTCAGACAGGGAGTCAATTTTCTCTCTGGAGGATGTGTTTCTCACAGCAAAGTATCTAATAAATCTGAATTTCTGCAAATGGGGACAATGATTTCTGACACACAGGGAGAGTTTGAAATATTTCAGAATTTCCTTTGAATAAAATGAAAAGAAAGCAGCAAGATTTAGAGAGACATTTCCTTAAGGAGAATTTTGTTTTATTAAATTAAATCTTCTTCATGATTAAACCCAGTTTGGTATCATTTTAAATTACCCCCTATTTTTTAACTTATGCAGGTTTGCTCTGGTGTTGTTTTAGCAGTGTGGAAATAAGTCTGAACTTAACAAATGAAGCTAAGAAACTCAATGACCTTTCATTTGCTTTAAGCCAAGATCCTCAAAAATAATTGAATTGAATGCACCAAATAACTCATTTTAATTGATCCTTGTAGTTAAACTTTATGAACTGAAACTAAAATAATTCCCCTTTTTGATAATTTTCTAATCCATAAATATACACTTTTATATGTTACTGAAACACTACATCAGCTACTTTTCTGCTGACGTTTCTCAGTATCAGCTTTGTTTTCTTTAGGTTTTTTTATTTTATTTTTTTTATAATCTCCTTAATTATTTGTTTTGACATTTTGTCCCCAAATCAAATCACTTTAAGGCTCAGTTTTCCTCACATGTAAAAATCTGGACTCCATAATGACTCCTTTAATTGAAGTGATTTGATGCACCTTAAGCAGACATAGTTGCCATGGTGATTTAGTTACTTTAAGTCCTTTCTGTTAGGTCCACCTTCTCTGGAGCCACAGTTAGTTTATGTAAGAATCAGGGAACTTTTCAGAAAGTAATAAGTCTGCGTTCCAATGTCTCTCTCAGCCAATCTGTGTATGTTTACCCTTCAAATGAGAACCTGCAGCTATAACAGCTCTTTGATCCATGTTACACTACTACATGCATGCATGCATGCATGCATGCATCCATGCTTGCACTTCCTCTGTGCGGGAAACCAATCCTTCAACCCCTCTGACTAAAAGGATTTGTGCCCCATTTTTGCGTCTCAGACAGGGTTACTCACCAAGCTTTGTTCTGAGCGGCGTAATCTCATTGTAAGTCAGAATTAGGTGATGTAACGTGCAACAAATGCATTACAACATCTTTCATAACATGGTGCTCGGTGAGGAGAGTGACTTTCATATAATACTTATGTAGGCCCCCATACTCCTCCTGCCCCTTAATTCCTTACAGCTACAGGAGCTTAACAAGCTCCTATAAACCTCACATTACTCACTCTTATTAGCTGAAATGTGTTTTCTTTATCCCACCACTGTGTGAAATTAGAAAATTATGGGGTCTTTTTGACATCATTTCAAATTGGGCGGAGTATCTCGACATATTTCAGCTATACTTATTTTTCACCCTGTCATCATGATGCTTCCATCCCAACTCAACTACAGAAAAATAAAAGTAATAAACTCAACGCTGAGTTAGCGTTACGCTGGTTTTCCTTCCGTATGAGCGCCGCAAGCGTCACGTCACGTGACTAAGAAAACGTAACGGGATTGGCTGGTTGTTGGACGCCACAATCCATTGCTAATGTCTGTGACCTGAAGTAACCCTTCCCTTTTTACACTGAATTCAGACGCCGAATTTAAGACAGTGAAATAGAGCCAGTTGAATCTCAGGAGGCTGAAAATATTAAGTTTGAATTTTGAAAGGTTGAATTTTTTTAAATGCAGATTTTTTTAACACTGAAAAATTAAACTGAAAAATAAGTATTGAAAATGTAATCACTTTGAAATAGTAATGTGAATTTTTAGCTTTTCGAGAAAATAACAAATGAAATTTCAACTGTGTAGAAATAATGACAATGAATTTTTTTTTAGGCCAAAAATGTGTTCCGAATATATTTTAACACTGAAACAGTAAGTACAAACATACAACATTTAAATTTCAGTGTAATTTTTAATTCAAATCCTAGCGACACAGATTTACTTCCATATATTTACATTAGCCATTAAATTGGGGAAATTGTCATTATGAAAATTCATTTTCTAAATAGAAACACTGCCATTTCAAAACTACTCACAGTTTTAGATAAATAATTTTTATGCTTCAACTTGTTTTTTAAGTCATATCAAAGTTCTATTATCTCACTAAACTACAATAGAAACACTTTTTTCGCATCATACATGTCACATGGTCTGCAACTGGACGAAGAAGACGACCAGAAGCAGTTGGAGGCGTTGGCACCAACTGAAATAAGGATATATCTAATGTGTTAGCATCTGCAGCAGCCATGTTGTTTTCAGAGTTGTAGTGTGAACAAACATATCCACGTACAACTTTCATTGATTTGCTGTTCGTTGGAAATGCTGGAATTGCTGCAAATTTTTTTAAACGAGCAAAATATCAACATAGTTTTGCGCACATTTGTAATGGAAACACAGCTGGATACTAAGATCCACACCAGGTGTGGACATCAAGAGCAATAGAAGACTGAATATATTTCTTAGATAAAGGAAAAACCTGCCAAATTATGCATCCGGGCTTTCCATTAGTCTTCCTTTAGTTTTACACATGTTAGTATTACACTGTCTAATGTAATATATATTAGCTTGGAAATAATTTTTAATAAACTCTAAAATCCTTAAATCACTCAATATGTTTAACCAACAGAGAAAAAGCTTGGCTGGAAGAGTGATACTTCCTAAACTGAAAATCTGTTTTAGTTCAGTTTAGCACTAATTCACAACACATATCATCCTAAGGCCCTCTACAAAAATATCCAATCCAGAGAGGTTGCTTAAAAGCTTCTTATCTAAGGAAATCGCTCCTCCTGGGTCAGAATGTGGTGAAAGTTAACATTTACTTGCTTTGTGTCGTTGACCCCACAGCAATCCCTCACACTGAGCAAGCAGGGAGCGACAGTGGGGAGGAAGAACTCACTTTTAACATTATGGAGTTAAAATTAGAATATATTCGCTGTACAATTAAAAGCATTGATATTTTATGGTTTCGTCTTTAGCTTTTGGGGAACAACATGCTGGAAAACATCATGATAAATTTTTATGATAATGTTTGATGCTTGTTTAAAGAAAAACTTTTATGTAGGCATTCAAATATTCTTATAAAGTAAAATTAAATTACAAATTGATGGAAAATGAAGCATATAAAACAAAGTGGAGCTTTTTTATGAAAATATACATTTTGAAATTTTATTAATTTAGGTCTATTTCGACAATATTTGTTGCGACTTGGACACACCTTAATAAATTGAATTAAAATTTACAAATTACTTGTCCATTAGCTGGAGGAACTACCAGCTATATAGGGTCTATATTTGCAATAAAACCAAAGCCCGAAACCATTAATATTCTAATTGCAGCTTTCAAAGCTTTACCACATGTTGCATGTCTACAAATGTCATGCAGCTCTAGTTGACATCTTAAATCATGTAAGTGGGAAATGGTTCAAGGAGAACAGGGCTGTCCCTGCTTCTCAATGAAGTTCACATTAATCCTTCTGAAACAGAGATGGGATTCTGGATTAAATAGAACATTTGAACCAGTTAAAGTGTCAAGAACTGCAAAAATCAGAATGCTTTGTTCTAATTTTAGGTGCATGTTTGGCTTAATGGGTATTTTAAATGGTTTTGTTTAAACAGAATAAATGAAATTGTATTTTTATTACTTATAAGAGAATATGCCATATAGAGAATGATTTAACACTTTGAAAATAATATTTGAAGGTCTTTTAGTGTAAGAATCAGTGACAGTTTAGTGGCTGAATGTGTATCATAAGTACCATTGAGAAGTGATGAAGGCAGCACTTTAACTGGAAATGCAGCTTTGAGGCCAATTAAGGTGCTTTAGAGGGGAAATGATCATCAGTGTCAGAAGGACTTTTTTAATGACGTACTTCACTTAATAATATTTTTTCAAAGTGGATGTTCATCAGCTTTTAGATAAGTGCTGCTCAGATATGCTGCTTCATGTGAGATTATTTTTATGAACTTTATGATTTTCTTTCCTGTTCCTAGGTGCCATGTTAGGGGGAGATCTGGGGAACTCAAACGGAGCGTGTCCAAGTCCAATTCGTAAGTGAATCTGCTTTTTTTCTTATATCCGACCTTACAGGATCCATATTGCTGCAAAGAAGTGAGTTTTTTACTTTCCCTTTTGTACATATTAAAGGCACACTATGCAACATTTTTCAGTTAATTAATGTGTTCCATAACGTTTTGGATGATTAAATGAGTCATTTCAGGTTGAACAAAGGTATTCTCGGCCACCCTGGTGGTCTGTGGGGGAAATACTGCACTTGCAATTGCAGGAGCACCGACCCGCACCCACAGGCTCAGAAGTCTCGTGAGAGTCGGTCTTGCTTTACGGCCGAGAACTGCTACACCCCCCAGTTATAAGCATTCTCGTTGCTAGCACAGTGGCGATCCTTGTGCAGTTATGCTACGTTCACGCAGCAAAAGCAGCAAAATCGTGTCTGCTGCTTCATTTTTGCTGCTTGAACCAGTTAGTTCTGACGCTCTGGCTGTGCGGTGCAAAAGTCTGTCTGACGCGCATTGGGCGGAGCTTCACTATCCTTTCTCTGCCTTGCAGCTATATTTGCTGTGATCATTTGGAATAAAGTAGTTTTAATATGTGTTTAAATGAGAAAATACACCTGAAAACGTAATCAGTGCCGTCAGTTCATTCAGATTATTATCCTGCCTTCAATATTTTTTCTGTCGGAGCCGCTCAGACCCCCCACATACCAGCGGTGCGCCGACAGAAGGAACCCCTTCATCAGCAGCCTCTGGCCGGGTCGCGTCCTCGCGGTTCACCGCGGCAGCTGGTAGGTGTTTTTCATCTAAATAATCCAAACTGCATATTCTGCCGGCAGATTTCTGCATTTTAAGTTAATTTAGGCGTCAATAAACTGTTTAAGAGGAGAGATCATAGCCTCTGATCATCAGCGCTGTGTCTCTCTCCCTGCTTCAGCTGCTCAGACGCGCTGGGCCTGCTGCTCCTTTGCTGCGCCTTGACGCGCGTCAATCATTGACTTTGCATGTAAACTCGCTGCTTCTGTCGCGCCAGCTGCGGTGTGAACGCAGCATTAGTCATTCGTTGCGTTCGCCTGTCTGCTAAGCTCAAAACAACCGCGCCTGGCTTGACGGAGAAACCAGGAGAACAGCTGTGCATATTTACGACAGTGCACTTTTACTTTCGCCCTCTGGGGGGAGTCTCGCTGGAAAATCAGCACCGGTTGCATAGTGTACCTTTAAATTAAGAAATCCTTTTTATTAGTAATGGTCAACAGAACAATGCAGACTGATCCTGTATAGCAACAACCTCACAGTCTGCTTCAGACTTATGCAGAAGCACATAGGCACCTGTTGACTGGTGACAGCTGGGGTGGGGTGGGCGTCACAGCACAGGCTGCTTGTAAACAGCTCACAGAACAGAAAGGGTTTCAGGTTATAAGGCAGTCTATGATTAAGCGATTCAAAAGAGGAAAAAGACAGAGTTAAATTTTAAAAACAGCTGATGTAGCTTTCCTGCTGTTATCCCTGTTTTCCAGGTAGGAAGCTGTTACTTTTGTTAGTTTATTCAGAAACTACCTTAAAACACTAATCTGGTCTGGAATCGGACACCTGTTCCAGATCAAATCCCTCTGAATCAACATTTCATCCCTGGCAGTGCTTATGTGTCAATCCTGCAGGCCTCCTTTAGGTTGGTTGCTCCACCTACAGTAGATAAATTCAGTTATTCCCAATCACTTCAATTATTTTTATAGGTTTTTATTTTACTTTGTTCAGAAATATTATTGATGCCTAAATACCACACTATCTAGAAATAAGTTAAAACTTCCTAAATTAAGTGTATTTACCCTTAATTTGAGTAGGTAAATTAGATAGTTGGCCAATGGAATTAGTATTTTTACTCTTAAAATAAGATAATTAGTTAATATGCACCTGAAATAAGACAATGCCAGTGTTTTTTCTTATTTTATGTGTAAATTGTCTTCTTTCATTGGCAAAATGACTCTTTTACCTCCTCAATACAAGAACAAATGCACTTATTTAAAGAAAAAAGGACTTTTCTGGATTTTCTTTTCAGTGCACCTGCCTGTGATAGAGACATTCTGATTGATGCTTTTCTAGAGTTTGTTTTCCAAGACCGATCTGTTTATGTGAAGTAAAAAAAAAGCAACCAAGGGCGAAACAATCAATGAGCTCAGCCTGTTTTCCTAAGTCAATCCATGCCTTTAAATTTATTTCAACATTCCTAATCTTTCTGTTTTTTTAGTTCTTTTTTTTTTTTTGTTGGGGTATTGTTTGAGTTTATTTTTTCCTGACGCAGTGATTAATGAGCTTTTCTTTCATTTCCTATTTTTATTCTTTTCTTTAGTACTCTTTAGCACTGAGCAGTGAATCTGGGGATTTTCCCTATATGTAAAGTTAGTGAAACTGACCATTAGTAAATAACTGAAAATGCAGAAGTGAAATAGTTTATGACTTTAATTAAAACTTTCCACTCAGTTGAGAAAATTACATGTGTTTTCTCAAGGGAATGAAAGCATCTATGATATTATAACATTAATTGTAATGAAAAAACATATTTTGACCCGCAGAGTGTAAACCATTCAGGTTCTGTGTAATAAAGAATGACTCCTCTTGTTAAATGAGGATTTAAATATTTTTTTTTTTTTTTTTTTTTTAAGTGTTCAGGTTCACTCGACAAGCCCAGGCCTGATTACTGATAACCTGTCGAACAACAAAAGCACAGAAACAGAACATGTTTACGACATTTAGTAGTTTAAACGATGTCAAAACCTAAACACCTTCTCAAAGAAATCTATAGAAATCCCAAAAAAGATGAGAAATAAATCTGATAACGTCTTTCAGTCCTGAAATGGTTAAAAAGCCATAAAAAGAAAATTGCCAACAGCACATGGAGCCATTATCCACCAACAGAGAAAACAAAAAGAAAAATTGATTATTCTTCAAAGCAGTGACCTATCAAATGACTCCAGGAGTTTATTGACACTCATCCATAAATCCTGCATGGTCTACTCAAAGCTCGATATGAAATCCATACGAGATTAAAATAATAATAATAAAAATAATAATGCATTTTATTTAACAGTGTCTTTCTAGTCACTGATGGTAACTTTACAGAAATAAAAATTAAAATACAAAAAAGCCAGTTCATGTTTGGGCGAGCAGCAGTTGGGTCAGATCACACCTACAGAGTAAAATACTTTAATTACTAAATAATGAAATAATTGATTAATCAGAAAGATCAGAATCAGTCTTACACTAGAATCCCTCCAACTTTATAATCTATCATCTTTTTTTGGGTCAGATTTTCTGCTAACTGATGTCTATTTTTTAACTTAAAGTGAAAACATTTTTAATCCTTATAACCATTTACACCTCCACTGCTTTCCCATGTGATTTATCGGCTCTCCCTATTCCTCTGACTACAGCCTCCCCTCCTTTCACCATGTCACTGTCAGCTGTTGCCCCTCGTCTTCATTCTGGAATAATCTCCCACCCTGCCCCGCCCCGCTCCCTGCCCCCCCTCCATCTAGCAATCCCCCGTCTTGGCGCAGGACTCTCCTCAGAGGTGACTTTGACGCTGGCCAGAACTCGCCCCTTAAATCCTGTTAGTTTGGACAGATACTTCCAGTTGTATCCCATAGCCATAGATATGCTGAGGGGGGCTCTTTTTTTGCTCTGTATTCACCTGAGAGCATTACTTCTCTCATGTTACAGAAAGCCAGAACAAATCTATAAGAACTGTTGTAAGAATACCAATAGGCGTTCACACGCGAAATATATTCATTGGGGTACAAATGCATTCTAATTACAGGTTGAGAAGGCCAGTGATAAGAGTTCACAAGAGTGAAGTTTAGCAACATTTTCAGATAAATGAAGGATCCTTAATTGTTTTTGCAAAGAAATGAGTAATAATTCCTTAAATTAGGTGTATTTATTCTTAATTTGAGTAGGTAAATGAGATAATTTGCCAATGGAATGAGTATTTTTACTCTTAAAATAAGATAGTTAGATAATATGCACTTGAAATACGACAATGCAATTATGTTTTCTTATTTTAAGTGTAAATTGTTTTGTTCCATTGGCAAAATGTCTCTTTTACCTCCTCAATCCAAGAAAAATTCACTTATTTTAATGAGAAAATGACTTCTCTAGATTTTGATTTTTTTCCACTGCATAACCCTACGCAGTGGTGTGCTTCACCGGCAGGTGGTCATGCTAATTATGCTAATTGGAACGATTCTCCAAACATTTTTAAATTAAATTTTAGCTTAAAGTGAAGTTTATTAGGAAAAGAGACAGAAAAAAAAGAGAAGCCAGCATGAAATATCCGACTAAAAATGCTAAGCTTTTCCGGTGCTAGAATGAGCACCGGAAAAAATTAGTAGACTGAGCAAAGACGGAAATAAAGCTTTATTGTCGTTGCAGAGTATACAACAAAGTTCCATTTGGCCGTGTCTCTTTTAAACAATCACTGTCAGTTAAATAGTGTTTAAAGCTGTGTTAATGTTAGTGCCATAGATTCAGTATTAGTCCATGTTTGACTGGGTTGTATTCTCTGTGTCTTTATTTTTTTTCTGCAACAGCCTTGAGAGAAAAATGTGTTTTTAAGTCTGTTAAAGTGGGTTCACGTGACTCTGCCAGAGGAAAAACTGGGGAAAAGAGCACCTTGGTTGGGCTTGGTTGTCCCGGAGCCTCGTGGCCTGCAGGAGGGACTCAACTAGAGTCTCCTTTAGGTGTGGGACTGAATCCACTTAGCAGTTGTTTTATTCTAAGGATTGCAGCTTGCCTACGCCACTGTACCTCTGATTCTCTTTAATGCATCATGGTAAAAGCTTTTTTAGCTGAGGTAGAACAAGTTGGTTCCTCCTCAGCGTCCTCAACAGTGCAAAAAATGTAAATCTCAATAAGTCATTTTTTTCTTAAAACAAGTGCACTTTTAAAATTGAAGAGGTAGGTGAGACACTTTGCCAATGGGACAAGACAATTTACATTTAAAATAAGAAAAGGACAATTGTATTGTCTTATCTAACCTGCAT